ATTCCTGGTCATGGTTTGAGGGAGCTAATCGACTTCCTGATCTATGTAAGTTTCACAGCTCTAACAGGTCAAATGGCTTGTGCTTGGCAGGACTCGGAAGGTGTGGACATCAAGCTTGGCGTGTGTGCTAATGGGCTCCTCATTTACAAAGACAGACTGAGAATCAACCGTTTTGCTTGGCCTAAAATCTTGAAAATTTCCTATAAGCGCAGTAACTTCTACATTAAAGTCAGGCCTGCAGAGGTAAGCAATGTCATGTAGCCCTTCATTTAACTAATGAGCTGTCAATGTTCTCTTTTGTAGGCACTAGCCAAATGAATTCTTTTTATTAAAATTTTTAGAAAATAAACTATTTTTATTCTTGATTCTTAATAAACTTACTGTGTGTGTGCATGTGTAGCTATTGCTAAAAATTAATAACCACACCTTTCTCAGGAAGAAGTCATGAATACCTGACACATAACGGAGGCTCATGTTTTCTTGCTGAATAATTGAATGGCAGAGATCAATAGGATGGTGATAAAATGGATGTTAGTAGACATTAAATAAATGTTGGACGTTAAATAGTTGGTTTAGGTTACAGCTGATACTAGCTTTTCAAAGAAGATAGTATTGTAGTCTATGAAAAATTGACTTTTGTATGCTTGAATATTATATTTACCCTTTTTTCAAGAAGAATTATTTCTTGTAGAAATATCTGAATCCATGTGTTTCAGCAGCCATTAGTGAGCTCTTAAGGAAGTACACTGATTTGTTTTATGGATTTGTTTCAGTTGGAACAGTTTGAGAGCACCATTGGGTTCAAACTGCCAAACCATCGGGCTGCAAAAAGGCTATGGAAAGTGTGCGTGGAGCATCATACTTTCTACAGGTAATTTAAAGGAAACAGCTTGGTATCGCACTTGGCACCATCTCAGGGTTAGGAAGTGGCAGTGGATAATGGGGCAGATGCATCAATCTCCCACCTCAAGGCTTCTTTGTTCTCCTTCATTCCACATCTCCTTAGTCTGCAGGCCACTGTTTCTATTGCCTGATGCCCTCCTTGTAATCACTCGGTACTGATCTGCAGTGGTCCAGAACTCCATTTTCTGGCTCCTTCACCACCACCATACTGACCAAGCCTGCCGTCATTCTTCCTTCTACCATCTCACTACGGGTTTTCTTCAGATAGTCTTCTCATCTCCCTCCTAGCTTAATTTCCTTCTCAAACTAGTGGGAACCTTGTGGACTGTCACTTTGGCTGCTTCATCAGGAGTGTTCTGACACCTCCACATCCCTCACCTCTTTGAACATCAACCTACCCAGTCTGCTGGGCCTGCATTAATGCCGACCTCTTCACTCTGCCTGTGCTATCAGGTGCTACCTTCAGTAGCACAGCTATCAGGATACATGCAGTTATTTTTATTGGAACAAAATAGCACAACTCTGTGAATTAGCGCTACTACAGGTAAATAATTTCCAGCATCAGCCAGGTTGTCAGTGCTTCTAGGCATTTGATCTTTTTACTTCCTGTGCCATTACAAATATTTGTGATCTTGAGTTCCTAGGTATCCCACCTCCTTTGACAGGTGCCCTCCATTCTGCAGTTCTCTGATCTTAGAGAAGTTTCATTTGTTTTCTCTTTTATCTCTTCTGCATTTATTATGTAAGCCATCACTACACTCTTTTCCACATTTATTCTTGCCCTCCTTTCTCATCTTAAGATATATTAGGTCATTGGGAAAGTCATGACATATTTTTCTATGTTTTTCTCTGCAAAAATGTGTCATGACTTTCCTGATGACCCAATGCTTATTCTCTGCTTGGATCCCTCATTTCATGCCTCACATAGGATCTTGCTTGTACATTGCTTACAGTGAGTGCCTTTGATTTCTTTGTTTCTTTAAGGACCATAAAACCCCAAAAGATCTTTTTTGATTACCTTTAGCGTGTGCCCTGTCTCCTTTCATACTTCTCAGCAAAGAGTATATATCTTACAGGATCATTTTGTTGATCTTTGTCTTCCACCTTTCCTTAGTGTCCCATCGCTGCAGTCTGTATAGCTGTGTATCTGCACCCTTCATTATCGATTGTTTTCTCTAGAACTAGGGTGTGATGCTGTTCTGCCACATACTAGCTGGGATGGGGGGTGAGGTACGCAACCTTCCTGTGCTTCCCTTTCAGCATGTGCATACTACTGGGTTGTCGGAAAAATCATGACGTATTTTTCTATGCAAAAATTCATCATGACTTTTATGATGACTCAAATAATATCTATAGTATTGTTTTGAAAATTCAATGAACTACATGTGAAATAAACAGCCATTTCTGGTATATAATGATGCTTATCATCACCTCTCTCAGCACTACCATTGTTATTCTTAGTTTTGTACCAATTGTGTTACCTTTAAAGTAAATTATCAGCTGATACAAATAATTCCTCCTTGAAGTTAAATTGACAGATATCTATTTTTCAGGATTTCTTTAATGTGCGCATCATTTTAAAAGAGAAATATAACTCATAAAATATACTTGAATCCATCTGACTTAGATACCCTGACTAGATATAGTTTTGAGAAGTTTATAATTTCCCTTGGGAGCTGTAACGAATTTCTCCTCAAGACAATGTGAGTCTGCCTCATATAAAGCTAGCAGATAACATTTATGACACAGACTGAGGCTGGGCAGACAGCGGGTTCTCTGACAGATAAGGGCAGCGATCCTGTTAGAAATGATAGGTGCTAACATTCATTACCATTTATTGTCGTTAGAGAGTGGATTGTGTTATATTGTTGGATCTTGCTTATTTCTCACCCCAGCCAGGGAAGCTAGTGCCGTTATCTCAGAAGTTTGCAGGACCAAATTGGTCTACTTTCAGAGGAGCCCATGGTACCTGAGACTGCTGGGCTAACACATCTCAGAAGCTCCTGTTGGAATAGAAGAATGAGGATGATGCAAAATGTAGGCCCTGTGGTCAGAGAGCTGCGGCCCCATCTCTGCTCAGGTGCCTGGTTGCTGTTTTCTCTCACAGGTGCCAACTCTGCCATTATTAATCAAATGATTATAAGTCAAATATCATTAATGTTTATTTATGGAGAATAAGAGAACATTTTTAAAAACCTCACAGATCAAGTACTAAAGTTATTTATACATTTAACTAGTGTCACAGGTTCCCATAAAGCTCTCTGTGGAGAAATGGATTTTTATTACAGCTAGATTCACCTTCTTATTGCTTTTTAGGCAGAAGGAGAACTGTAAAAAAAAACAAAAACAAAAAACAAACAAACAAACAAAACTGTGCCAAAGCTCCTGAAATAGTTGACAAGAAAAAGAACTTTTTAAGAAGTCACTCTTCCTTGGAAAATGATGAGAAAATTTTGGGTGGAATTCTTCATATTCTTGATTGTTAACTAGTCTTTTAATAAATTCTACAAGAGCTCTGAGATTATCTTCTTGTTAAGCTATTTTTCCAATCATTGATCCAACAAAGTAACACAATTCCAGTTGTATTCTAAAGAATATTAGCTTACTTACTAAAAATATGATTTTATGTAAGTCTAACTTCATTTATTATGAATCTAAAGTTTTGAGCAGTAAAATAATGCAGGCAAGAAACGATGCTAGTCATCTGAAAAGATCCACTATGTGTTGTGTTTTTCATGGGAAAGAATCACTGATGGAATAGCTTCCTGAGTTACTTTTATTTCCCAGAAGAAATAGACATAAATATTAAGAATTACTAACAGTAATGGATTGCCATTAGGCTCTTGTAGCTAGGAGCAAGAATTCAGACATAATGTGTTTACATAAGTGGTTTAAGCTAACACAAATAAATAACCTCAGATACACACAGAGAACAGCTGCTTTTCTGCTCAGGTTAAGAAAAACATGAATTTGGATTTACCCATTACCATCATAAAGCTATGTATGTAGGTGGGTTTATAAATAATACTCTTTAGTAGAAAGTCAAGTAGCATTATTTTTGAGTAATCATACTTAACATGAAAGATTAAAATATAGTTTGTAATTGGAAAAAATGTCTTATTTTGCTTCTCCCCCCACCCCCCATAGGCTCGTGTCTCCAGAGCAGCCACCAAAGGCCAAGTTCCTGACCCTGGGGTCCAAATTCCGCTACAGCGGCCGTACCCAAGCACAGACCCGCCAGGCAAGCACCCTCATAGACAGGCCAGCTCCACACTTTGACCGCACTTCTAGTAAACGGGTCTCCAGGAGTCTAGATGGAGGTAATTAACTTTTAATTCCATTTTTCTTTCTGTAATCCAGTGAGGCCAGAAAACAGGAAGGTGGACACATCAGATATCCCTCAGGATTTGTTGGTGGGGATTTTGGTGTATATATAGTTATTAAATCTTGATTCTGGACAAGCTTTCATACAGTTTTATGAATCCACCCAGAAATATGCTAGGAGATCATGAATTGTGCTTCAGACAAATGTCAACACTTCCAAATGTTGCGATTTAAATCCAGTGAATTATCAGTGCACTGTAGCTGTCAGAGTATCTTTTAGCTCATCACGACCTGAGTACTTTTCCAAGTAAATCTGAAAAATGTGCCAACCCATGTAAATATTTCACAAGCTTTGCCCCTTGCCACAGACAATTTTTACAAGTGCCGAATAAATGCAAACACTGCTATTTAATGTCCTGAGAGAAATCACTGCTCTCACTGGAACACTGTCTGTTTTCAGCCTTTATTTTAGACTGTGAGGCTCTTTAACTCTTATATTGCAGATCTTAAAGTTTAAAAAGAGCAGTAAACCAGTGCATTTTCCCTGAGGTATATAAATTATGTTCAAGGAAACCCACCATTTTGTATGGGCAGTGAGTCCAGAGGGTTATAGAAGTCTGTATCTGAAAACAATGATTTTTTTTTACAAGTAAAAGCAACAAACATGCCACAGTATTCCATTATTTTTCTCTTTTTGTTTGGACACTGTAATTCATCAGATGGGCAAGTCATCAAAAGGATTATTGTGTTATTGTGAAAAATAGGAGGCTTTTCATGCCGATACATGACCAGACAGCCAGCGAACTCTTTGGTTAGATTTTTTTTTTTCCCCCAAAGCAAAGCTAGGCTGTAACCTGGTACTGAGCTTTATTTTCTCCACCACTTCCCATTAATATTTTTTTGTTGTTGTTGTCATGTGTTGTAGTTTTCCTGTTTACTTTTTGAAAGTTAGGCTAGAAAGATAAATAATCCCCATTTTAAAGTTTGGCAAATTAAATTCTCTAGCAGAGAAAGTAAAAAGCAATGTAATATTTAAATATCAAATTGTAAAATGAAGATCAGTTTAGAACAGGTATTTTGAACAGTGAGACCCCTCTGAGATTAGAAAATCAAACCCAAAGAAAAGTTCATCATTAACAGGACTAACAACTAAGATGCATTTGGAACCAGAGGAGCCAGTAATATTTTGACAGTGGCAAGTGTGATAAGCAGGACACTACTTAGATAAGCTCATGGGGAAGGCAGGCCTGTCTGGAAGAACCAGTACAGCTCATGTGTGAAGTGTTAGGAAGAGCCAGCCATGAAAAAAGGAGGAGGTGACCAAGGATTCCAGGTAGCAAAAGCAGCAGGACCAAAGGTTCTAAGGTGAGGGAGAGCTTAATACATTCCAGAAACAGAAAGAAGGCAAGCGAATCAGAGCTTGGTAAGTGATGGGAGAGGTAGGCTTGGGTGAAGGTCCTGGTGGAGAACATGGCTATTAAGGACTATGAGAGAGTGAACAGGGCCATCTAGTTAGTAGGCCTGGTGAGAGTGATGACGGTTTTATCTCTGGTGGTGGGAGGCCAGTTAGTCATTTGGCACCATAGACTCAATACTTGAGCTTGTAGCTTAAGTGTTTTCTGGGCTTTCCTGGGGCCGTGGAACCAGAACAAGCCACATGGTGTCACTAAAGCTCTTTTTATACAGGTGAAATGACCTCAGTGACCTCAGGGTATTTCTACTGTTTGGGAAGGAGCTACAGATGAAGAATATTTTTTGTTTTGAGGATTGAGGTTGTCTCAGGCTGATCTCCAGTATGACAACACCGTTTGTGTGTGTGTGTGTGTGTGTGTTTGGATACATACATACACACACACACACATATATATATATATATAGATATATATATATACACACACACACACACACTGCCTGTCTGTAGGTGAGATGAAGAGAACACAGGAATCCAGTTTACTATAGGGAAGGAGGTTCTCTATGTGTTAGATTTGCTGTAGGTCAGGCTGAGGCATTCAAGAGAAGGGTTAGACAAAATGAAAGATACTTAAATATGGAAGTTAAATCCCTAGAATCTACCTTTACTGTTTAGTCTTTTAGTATTCAAAAATGAAAGATTCTATTATGGATAAATTTTTAAAAACTTAATGAAGCATGTTGTTTTAATAATGAAATATTATTTGTTACAATGACTAGTTTCAGAAATAAATTTAGGTAAGATCAGAGAGACACCCTAGAGAATGAAAAAGCTGCTTCTGTCCTCTTCTGATGTTTTACCCTGACTCTGGCATGTCAGCTGGACTTAGAGCTCCTCCTACTGGCCAGTTCCATAATTAAAGTATATCCTTCAAAAATCTGATTTGAGACCATGGTTCACTAGGTTACAATTCAGAATACTAGAGTTTGGTAAATGTATAAAAATGAGTTTATTATATATGTTGGTATCTTCAGAATTCAAACAATGTCCTATGAATTGTTTATTTGCTGCCTCTTTGTTTGTGGAAGAAACTCCATGAAGTCTTACCATTCATATGTCCTAAAAGTAATCCCAAATTATTATTCTTCACTAGCTCCAATTGGTGTTGTGGACCCAAGTCTTATGAAGGCTTTTGCTGGCGCTGCAGGAGAGGTTTCCGCATATGGCCCTGGAGCTGTCAGCACAGCCATTGTACAGGACGGAGATGGCAGGAGGGAAGTCAGAAGCCCAACTAAAGCCCCACATTTGCAACTCATTGAAGGAAAGGTATGGAAAATGAGTACAATATGTGGTTTTAAGTGTGTCCATGGACTAAAGGCTATCTGTTGCTTTTCCTATTTCAAACATCAGTTATTTAACATAAGTCATGGTATGTTGTCCGTGGATGAATTTTCCAATTTTCATAGGTTCTTGATGATTTGGACTATGGTTTCTAATGTTTTTCTGATTGCTGTTCGAAGTGAAAAATATTTTAATGTAAATTACATTAACATAAGTAAATTACTAGCCTTTTGGACTCTTAGTCATCTAATTAAACCTTTACATTATAAAAGTTATAATTTGAAACTTAAATTTGATTTGTTATAAGTGAATTTGAAAGAGTAGTCTGTGTCTTGATCATTTTAATTATGTTGACTTGACCCTTGGGACATGAACAAAAGTAGTCTTTATGAAAAATTTTACTTTTTTATTGATAATCTCTAACTGATGAAAAAACTTTTAAGCATAAGGTAATTGTTCTGTGAATAGCTAGTAAGAGGAAGATGTGGTTCTTTTGGCTTTAGTGTGTATTTGCATTCCAGCGAGTGAAGAAATAACCTGTACTATGTTCTCAGATTTGTCACTGTTGACTTTCATTACCTTGGGCAGTAAAGTCACATCTGTATTGACTTGAAGAACCTTAGAGTTCTTCAGATCTCTTTTCTGTATCTTCATAACATACCTTTTTACATACAACATTTAAGTAAGCACAAAAAGAATGAAATCATCCTGTTGGTTTACAATGTTTTCTAAATTTTAACCCTGAAAATTTTAAAGCCGTGTAACATGAATGTATAAAGACACTGCAAGATGAGGTAACTGCCAAGGCCTCGAATTCCTGCACTGATGGCTTCTAACACTCAGCATGGAGGAGTCCCAGGGACCACATGGGCCCTGTCTTATGCCACAAGGGCAGGTGCTTTATAAAGCAAGTGACATCAAATAACTTGCATTCCATTGTTCAAAGATATGGGACTGTTATATTGAAAAATGATTCGGTTGAAGATTATTAAAAATAACAAAAGTTGTGTCCAACAAGGTATCCTTTAACTGTTCCATTATTGTCAGAATCACTTTTATAATTACGTTTAGCAGTCACCTCGGGGAGTGACTACTTATATCTGAAACAGGAGAGCCTAGCATTTCAGAAAGTCTCTATTCCATTTTGCCTAGTTAACATATCTCATTAGTTTTTGAAGAAAAATATGTCTTGCCTTAAAATTCCAAAGAAAATCCTGCTAATCTTTAGCAAATGACTGGAATGGGAATGCTGACTTTTCTGCTGCTGCTTTGAGTATCTTTCAGCAGTCAGGTTTAAAAGTTAATGGTATTTGAGTTTCGTTGAGGATCTACTCGCAACCAGTTTGAAAATAATAATCAAATCAGTCAATCCCTATAATTGTCATGTGGTCAAAGTAGTCTGATTTTTCCTCTTTAAAAACGAGTTGTTTAATTCATTTTCTAGTTCACTGTATTAATACAATTCCTACTTCCGAGTAAAAGTTACTAACTACCCATTTCTTCTTTTCTCCTTTTTCTTTCTTGCGTTTGTTTTTCCTTTGACTGTAATTTCACATTCCATGGGTTTGCTCTTGAGAATAGACTGTTCCCATGTGTCCATCGTCGCCACTCACGTACTGTGCTTCATCTTTTGCCTCAAACCTATTGCCAGTCCCTGAGATAGACTTGCTTTCAGACATTTCAGAGGAAGACCCCTTTGGGGAGGCTGACCAGATTACACTAGACAGCTTAGAGCTCCTTTCCACAGCTGAAACCTCAGAGCAGGGGGACCCTGAAGTCACCACTCTGGATTCTGCCTCGGATCCTGCTGTAGCCCCTGCTCAGCCTGACGGTCCTCTTATCTGTGAGAGGACTCCTAAAGCAGCTGACTATGATTCCGAGTGCAGCCACTTCTCCTTCAGTTTCTATAAATGTTTTCCCTCTGGCTTCCCCTCTCTTCTGGATGAGGATGGCTATCTTGCTTTCCCCAGCCTCCCCAAAGTCTGGGTCTCCTTCCTGCCCCCTGATGTTCAGCACTATGTCCCTATCACCTCACCTTCATTCATTCCTTCCCTTATCCTCATTTTCGGGCTGCTTCTCTCTGCTTCTCAGTCAGTTCCTTTTTCTCTGACCTTTTCCCTTCCTCTGGCTCTCTGCCTCTGCTATCTGGAGGCTAAAGCCACCACTTTTCATGTTTCTTATGACTGTGACTGCAATGACAAAACCGAGGAAGAGGAATCAGTTGCTGGCACTCCTACATAAGTTTGAGTATGTGGAGCCAACAAAACTGTACTTCATCCGACACCCCGTAATGTAGAGTGTAAACGTGTGCACACATTTCACCACTGATTACTTCAAAATAGTATTGTCAGCGTATTTTCCCACACACACATAGTGCATGAGAAATAAGTGTAAACATTCCTCCTCCGTTGATATCCATTGACCAGGTCCACACATTCTAAGTTGAGGATAAAGTTAAAGGATTATTTTATAAATATCTCAATTATACTAGATTTCTTACAGAGAGTAGGGGAAGAGAGGAATCCGTATTGCCCTTACTGATCTGCACTGGGCCTCTCCATTTGGCAGACAAATGTTAACGCTGTTCCTTTAGGGTGGAAACTTTTTGTTTTAGTATAGCACTTAGGACGCCGTGGACATTCCTAACTGCTGTGTGCCGGTAGAACTCCTTAGTATCTTATTTCTCTTGTTAGAAATAAAAGCTTGTTCTTGCATTTTGGAGGCTATATCTATAACCTTTCCTCTTTATGATTGTACCTCTGAGAAGCTCCTTGTCTACTGTTACAACACACGAGACCAGATGAATTTTAGCTAGTTTTTTCCCGCAGCCCTAAATCGTGTAGTTATATAAAATAGTCATTGTCAGGTATTTTCTAAGGAAGATACTATCCTGTTATCTTCAACAAATGGGTGTGATAAATAAGACATAGGTTTTTGAAAATGTAGACATAAAACACTAAGGTTGAAGCTCTTAGTGTTCTTTTATTTGAAATTAGGTGTCTGGTTGGAAGATTTTTTTTTTTTTTTCTCTTATGTAAGATGATGTTATTTTTAACTACCTCTGCCCAATGAAGTCAGTGTTAACATGTGCAGTATATTTTTGAATATTTTGCTGAATATGATTGCTAAATGTGATCTGGTGATTCAGTGTCTCATATCCTATGAATACTATCAATACATAAAGTTAATCACAAAGTTAAGGACAAACCTAAAGAAAAATGGGAGGATATTGCAATGAGTGTGAATTGTGGGAAAAACCACAGTTTGTCAGATTTACCTGAAGAGCACCAATGATCAACATTTTAGAAATTGTTAGCTAAGGAATTGGAAAGTGATTCTTTACAGATTAATGAATAGCTATGTCTCATTTTCCCCTTCTGATAAAAAGACTCTTGAGATCCCTTCTTACTCTCAAGAATGCTGTAAAAGGTTAAAAATAAAAATTAAGCATTTTGTATTCTCAGATTTGACACTACCCCAATAAAGAAAGAATATATGATATGAACTAACATGTCAAGATTAAACTATTTTCCTTTGATATCCAAATCACTATTTTTTTTTTCCTCGCCATTCTTTTCCTGGAGTCTGAATGCATTCAGTATCTATGTTAGTTTTAAACTTCTAAACTCATTCTTTCAAGTCTTTGTATATTGAGAAATGGACAACTATGAAAGGCTTTTTAAACAACTTTTTTGAAAGCAGAGCTGCTCTATATTCTAAAAAATATTTAAAAGTCCACCATTTTAATGTAAAAGTAGCAAAATAAGTCAACTTTGCCCCCAAGGAAAGACATCATTAAAAACCTGAATAGTAGGGTGAACGTTTGTTCTTAGCATAAAGGGTAAAGACCAATCTGACATCATCATACCTTGTCCCATCACAAATTGACTTGGACATTTCAAATTAGACTAGGTTGCCATTTTTGCACTCTCATGTATTTATTCCTGAGTTTAAAAATATTCAAAAGAAGAGTGTAATCTAGGGACTGAGAACCAGTGAAGCTTCCATTCTCCATTCCACCTTTGCAAAGGATTCTTTTCATCATTTGTACGACACTGTAGGTGAAGAAAGACCAAAGGGGCTTAATATGCTGCATCTTCTGAGGGCCAAACAATAAAGGTTGGTAATGCTTACCATTTAAGTTCAAAAACAGCTACTTTGCCTGATGGTAGAGTTTTCACCAATGCTCCCCTTCTTCCTGGCCGTTTGCTGTGTGACTTTTCAGGAGAAGATGGATGAAGAGGACACACAGTCGGAGAAGGTGGCTGGTTTCTTCCTAAAGTTAAAAATCTTGTGGCTGCTGCCTGTCATTATTATTGCTTGTTGAGAGGGAGGGATGCACTTTCAGAGTTTTGTTTGTTGTGACTTTAAATTTTTAAGATGTTTATTCCTCTGTTATTTTAATAGACTATCAAACTCTGAGTCATTGATGGTGCTTGCTGATTGACACACTTCTGTTTATTTGCCTTCCCTCCCTGTGTGTGATTTAATTTCACAGAAAAATTCCTTGAGAGTAGAAGGGGATAATATATATGTCAGACATAGCAATTTAATGTTGGAGGTTTGTATACTCTAAGAAAACAACTCTGTCCTATTGGCTGCCAGGCTGCTGTGGACGGGAGGTCACGCACAGGCTGGCTGGCAGTGTTCTTGAGGCACGTGCATGGAACGCATGGGGAAACTTCCACTCGGTGTGCATGTTCTCAGTCAACTTTGTTTTGTAAAGTGGCTTAGGTAGGAATAGATCCACGAGAAGTTCTCACAGTGACAACTGGGAAACAAAAAATTTTGTTTAGTCACATGAATAAAGTTTTAATCTGTTCATCTTGAAGTTGCTCCACGATACAAATAAACCTACTTACTCCTAATGGGCATCTTCAGAGCATGGAGTCCAAAATAACATGATCCTATCCTTAATATATATAAATTCGTCCAAGTAGATGCTTGTTGATCTGACATTAAATTATTTGACTCTTCATCTATGCCTTTTGGGGGTTGGAGGTAAGGGATTTAAAATCCATGTTAGGAATGTGGTCCACTTCAAGTATTCTGTTTGAGAGTATGCTAATTATTAGCTAATTAATGGAATCCCTTTGATTAGAAAGAAAGAACCAGCAAAAAGGGAAGAGAGAGAGCGAGAAAAAGAAAAGTCTAGCCACCTTGTTAGGAATGTAAAATAAGTTTCCTGTGTCACAGGAGAACATTTTCTTCCTCATTATAGGGGAGCACATGCCAATGTATTGAATGGAGAACTGCCTCTCAGTAATCTGACTAATCTGATTGCTTTTGGCAGCTTTGGTAACTGTTGGAAATGTGTTTTTCCTTAACTTACTAAAATGCTGTGAAGTGTAATAAATAACAGTGCTTTGAACAAATGCAAGAAATGTGCCTGATCTCAAGCCACAGTCGTGTTTCCATGCCATGCAAAGATTTTTAGATTTTCTTGAGTTTTTGCAGATGGCTATAGAAGCTCATAGCAGAGCTACTATGCTTGTGCATGAATATGGAGTATCTAATTTTATCAGATGCATGACCTGTTCCTTTGGGAGTGGGATGAAAGCTGTAATCCATAGGTGGCCCCATGATTTTTGAAATGTAAGAAGATGTTTAAAATTTACTCACAACCACTTCCTGAACATTAATTAACTTTTACATATGCTATTTATTAGAACCAGTCTTTTTTTAAAAAAAATCCCACAAATACCATTTAATAGGGTCTACTCCAGTAAAACTTGACCTGGTAGTTTTCTTGCATCCTTGTGTAAGGACCATTTGATATATGGGTGACTTGGGTCCCAGTTTTGTGCTTGACAAGTACAGTAGACCAGTATATGGTTCATTTATTTTATAGAGAGGCCAAACAGAAGCAGCCTCTAGAAGCAGTTATTTTTGTTTCTTAAGGATTTATCACAACTAGACTTTTCTGAAAAAAAAAAAAAAAAAAGTCAGCTTTAATACAGTTTAGTAGTAGCCCTGATGAGAAAGTCAAATTTATGTGAACAAAGCCATAGGCTGCATTCAAATCCAAGTATTAGAAGAGTTCTACTATTTTCATCATTAGTTCATTGGCTTCTTTCCTTCTTACCATGTGTATGATTATTTCTTTAAAATTTCTAAATAGAAACAATGAGAATTGTTTAAAATATATTCATGAAACATTACAGATGGAATTTATTTTCAAATTTTGATGAACTTGTTCAAGTTATTCATAGTTGATATACTCATTAAAGTTATTCATAGGTGATATGGCTTTTGAGACTTGGCATTTTTCTTGCTTTACTATTTTTTTTAATCGTAAGTTTGCTTTGTCTTATTTTTTGGTCTTATTTTTTATTTTTGTCCTACTGGGTTTTTTTTTTTCTTTTTTTTTCTTTTCCTTTTGGATTTTTCTCCCCGTTGTTGCGTTACACATTGCTAGGACCTGGATAAGGCCCAGGAGGAAATACTGAAACATCAGGCTAGCATTAGTGAACTCAAGCGCAATTTTATGGAATCCACACCTGAGCCGCGCCCTAATGAATGGGAAAAACGACGTATCACACCTCTGTCTCTACAGACACAAGGGGTATGTCACTGGCTGTTTGTTGGCTGTATGTCTCCAGCTGTTCAGTAAAATGCAGGTTGTTTTTCTAGCTGTTGATTCCAGAAGCTATATATTGTTCCTGTTTAATTTTTTATATAATGCTAACAGTTTTTAAATACTAAATATTTATTAACAATGTAATACTTACTGGCTTAATTCTTAGGTAAATTTCTGAGTATCACACTATGAGAGTGTTTCAAAAAGTTTGTGGAAAAATGGAATTCAAGCATGTGTTTATATTGGTCTAAAAAAAAATGAAGCCCATGCGTAGTTTTTCTGTGAAGTGTGGTTTCCATGAACTTCTTTGAAAACTCTTCATACTTTTGAAATTTTCGGTATATTTTCTCTATTTTACTCAAGTAAATTAGTAATAAAGAATTGTTATGTAGGACAACTTAGAAACTAACATATGTAGTATTTAATAAGGTTTTAAGTTGCTGAATTCTGAAATAGGGAAGTTTACATAATGATTAAGTAAAGGAATATAGATCATATTTAGAATGCTGAAAGTAATTACTGTGAGGATAATGAGTTAAATTTACCTTTGAAGATGGATGAGACTTTCAAAATCTTATGTATTATGCAAGTATTTAATATGAAAACTTCCAAGTAATGAAATGTAGAACAGTGTTTTAAAAATATTTTTCACTGTATCAGCTCTCCATATTCTGTTTATTTCTACCACTGCTAATACAAGTATTTCCTTTAGAATATATTCTCAAAATGATTCTCCACTTTTTCGCTTCTCTATCTGTTCTTCTCTGGTGCTCCCAGATTCCTTCTGTTACTGACCAAGAACTTCCACAGGCTCATTTACCCTACTTAAGGAGACAGTGAGCGTGCTCCATACTTAATCTGCAGTTTGAAAAAATCGTATGAGAAACTACTCTTCAATATCATCTTTCCTCTTTCAGTATTTAGTCTGGCTTGAATGTTGCCAGATTATAGACAGCTAATTTAAATATCCCAGTGCTGTTGTCATTCATTTTTCGGTAAAAAGCAAAGCTGTTAGTTGTGTTACATTTCTAAGTTCATAACAGCAAAAGGAAAATGTTTAAAACAAATGAGCAAAAATAATCGCTCAACTGAAAAGCAAAACTTCTGAAAAAATGGAAATTTAAAACACCATGCAGGGTCGAACCTTATGAAGTTGGATACGCCACACGTTCTTATTTTCTGATTTTCTGCAGATAATGTCAGTTTTAGCCATCTTCTCTGTAATGTTGTGTTGAAGCAGCGTCTGATAGCATGCTAAGGGTGGTCTTCCATTATGTGTTGCTTCATTTGGTTTGTTCCACTGACCCACGCGGTTGTTATACGTTTGTGTTGTTACACATGTAATTTATGTGTCTTATTTGTTGATTATGTGTGTTGTTTAAAACAATAGAGAAAAGGAGACCATCTTTTCAAGGATATTTTATCCATGAAGGAGAAGTACCTGATGGCAGCAACACGGACAGTTGAAGAGAAAGCTCAGCAGGAGGACAAGGTGTTCACCTTGCATCCTTGGATCTTCTCTTGCTTGTTCCCCCTTTCCTTTTATTTCTGCCTACAGCCATAAAATATTCCTTTTTTCTTACGTATCAACCTCGAATTTCTAAAATAATGTTTGAGCATTTAAAAGTTAAATCTCCACATACAGAAGCATAAAATCACTGGGTAAGACACACCATATCACAGGAGGACTTGACTTGCAAATTTGAAATTTGAAAGAGCAGAAATACCGACTGATTTAGGAGCTATGTGATCTCCAATTTGATGTATGTGGCTGACAGTTGGGAAACTGTAATTTAATGTAAAACTGCATTGTTTATGGAACACTTAATGCATGCTATGGTGGTATAAAAGTAACAAATTACATGTGCCTAAGGACACTCTTTACTAATCACTCAGAGAAACCTTTTGAATTTCATTGTTAAGACTAATGACACAAAAGATTTGGTGTACTGTATCAGTCATGCAGACGTCTCTCTGTGCTCCCACATATGTGAAATATCTATCCTTAAGTTAGCTTTCTGTTCCTTTTATATTCTTACTCGTTTTCTACTGATTTTGCTTAGCCAGCTGATTAGTCTCTTTTTACCTGGATCTGAAGACCCTTGCAGTCTAATAAAGCAGATACACAGCAGTCATGTTAGTAACGAAGGAATTTAGGGTCTTAAGAAGCACATATTAAAAAGATGAGATCCAATGTTGGGTTAGGAGACAGGAAAAGTTGATTTACCATTGTAGTCAAGAGGTGTCACTGAAATTGAGACTTTGATGAAGGCAAGGGAGGAGACGTGAAGATTTCCCCATGTGTAAAAAAGAGCAAATCCTGCAGCCACAAGGCAGAAACTTAGTTTAAGGAACCCAGAGACAAAATAACAAGGTCTTAATGAACAGGGGGTAGCAAAAGGAAGGAAAGATCAGACTCCATATTATGTTGGAGTTTCAAAGGCCATAATTAGCAGTTTGGAACTGTATTAGAGGATTGATTAGGAAACTGCTATGCTTAGGGACTTAAGCTCTTACATATCTGACAGAAATCTCTCTGGCACTGGATGGAGAATGGATTATAGGAGGGGCGAATGCGAAGAACAATAAGAAATAAGGAAAGCGTTCCCTTTTTACAAAGTCGATTTTGTTACTCAGTAGACAGTATTCACCAAAACACACAATAGGGCGCGAGTGGAGGCACAGTAAGTGGAAGTTCTCTTATGGTCTTTGAGCTCTAGTTGAGATTAAATATTTTCAGAACACTGCAAATGAGAAGAAAGTGAAACCAAAGGCATATTTATATACTTTAATGGCTAGCATACAATCTAAAGCCAATTAGGCTCTGTGTGTGTAGTGAGGACTTTAATATCCCCTTCTTGGAAATTATATGTATAAAAATCTGTCCTCCAGAAGCTAGCCAAATGACATCATCCGATCAAATTTAAAGTGCTATCCTTGGACGTTTGACAGAAGAAAGCTTTGGAATATCAGTGACGATGTTTAAAATAGTTGTTTTGGGGGAATCTCATGTTTTAGGAATATGCGATATGAAATACCTTGTTGGAGAAGCTATATTCAAATTATGTCACATGAAACTTAAATCTAGAAAAGCTCCCAAATGGCTTATCTGCCCTTGAAATTACTGTGTTTTTCTCTTCTTTGCAGGAAAATATATACTTATCTGACACACACAAGTTATCATAACCACAGTTCAATCATTCATTCACCCAAGAAACTTAATACACACATTGTTTAATTCCCCCCCTTCAAATTACCTACCACTAATATTAGTTGAGTTTAGTGGGATGAGTTTGACGTGAAACTTTTTTCTTTTTTTTTTTTTTTTAGAGAGACTTTTGCTATAGGGTGCATGTGCTTGCCAGAGAGACAGAGACAGAAAGTGAGAAATCACCCCCAAGGGGAATGACCATGCTGCAATTCCTTTTTCTTTATTCTCCTCTCAGTATTTTGGGCACACACGCATACCCACCCAGCATGAGTTTTAAGCTGCTGGGTCCAGGACTCAGACTGTAGTTGACCATGTGGGAGTCTGGCAACATAATGATTACACCATCTGCTGGTCCAAAAATCTTTTCAATCTTCATTGTATCTTCATTTTACCACTTATTTTTCAAAGTTTCCTGTTTATCTTTGAATTATAATCTGTATTCAGATGTAAAATACAGAATTATGCATAAGTATGTAATTGGCCCAAATTTTCTAAATTCCTTAATACGGATTTTATAGGAAGAAAATGCAGCAATAATTGCTTGTTTAAAAACCAAATATTGTACTTTCAAAATGGCTTCAGTTTGTGAACAATTTTGAGAGTAGAGCAGAAAGTTTGAAAGCAAGCAATTTAGTCTTTAATACATAAATAATTCTATTGTATGTCCTGTTCTGTACCGTGAGAATAATGACATTTTGTATAAGATGTTCTTTCATGAGTGTCAAAGAGGTTATATAGGCTGTAGTTTGAAGGTATGTTTATTGACTAATCAAATGCATAGCACTCATTCAAACTCATTGGTCACCTCTTACTGGAAAGGACCGCTCCACCTCTAGGGAAAGTATAATTTGGGACTGTAATTAAGCTGAATTAGTCCAGAGCTTTTTTCTCTTCTGAATAGCACAAGGGTTTACTCATTTCGCTCCTCTTGGCTCACTATCTAAAGGTCTCAGAAATGTCTTTTATTTATTTGTTTTTGCTTAAGGTCTCTGAATAGTGGGGCTTATTAGAAATTGTTCTCACATGTTTCTGATATGGGAGAAACTTCATGGCGACTCTTAACTATTGAAATTCCAAGTTTCTGAGGATACCTCCTGGTTTTCCTGTTTTTCCTCTCAGGCAGTTTGAAAGCATTGTTTAAGAACCAGAAATGTGGGGGCTTGATTTATCTTAATGATTTTAGGACAAATGATTTTCATGTTGCTCACAGTTTTAGCTATGAGTTTGTCTTCCTATTTTGAATTTTCTTTTCCCTTTTTCTTTCTTTTTTTTTTAAAAAAACTACTATCAGCCTAAGAAAAACCTGCAATAAAGTGTGTAAAGCAAAAGTGTATTTGGGCCAGGATTCATGGGTACACCTGGTACCACAATATCCAAATTACCCTGGCTGTGTGTACCAAGGAATAGCATATTTTAGAGATAGAACAATGAGGTGGGGAGTTTACATCATTGTTTTGGAATTAATAATGGTGAGTGGACACCACCCTTTGTTATTGGTGTCATGATTGGCGTCAGTTACCAGTTGGACAGGTGTATTCTGGGCAGATGTATTTGCAGAAGCAGGCCTTTGACAGCCTTTGTTATCAGACATACTTGTGTGAGAAATGTCCCTTCCTGGTCTTCCTTGACTCAGTGTAGTCTCGGTTTAATACAGGTTGACACAAATAACTCTATATTGATTGACAATTCTCTCCTGCCCTAGGATTATTTATTTAATCCATGGCATATTTAGCATGTCTGAGGGAATTACTGTGGGTTGGTGTCAGAATGTTTGTTGTATGGACAGTTCCAGAGATAGGGAGAAAAGAAAAAAATCACAGGAGCTGGGGTAGTTGGGGAAGGTCTGATACAAAATATGGTTGTTAAGTGAATTTCAGAGAGAGAACACGTTTGGAAAGCTCCAGAGTGCATAGGGAAAGGCATTGGAGTCCAGAAGGGTAAAATCATGCAAGATTTAACATAAGAATAAGTATAAAGGCCATTGGAGGGGCCATTCTGTATAGAAAGAGGCCCAGAGCTACCTCAAGTGGGAGGTTTTTCGTTGTTGCATTTTTGTCTTTTAAATGAGGTAGCTAAAATACACATGAGAGAAAGGAGGAAAGAGAGTGAGATAGGTAGGTATTTCAGCAGGGTCTTACTGTTGGAATCCTCTGCCCCAGCTTCCTAGTTAGCTAGGATTATAGGCTCAAATATTACTGTGCCTGGCCTGTTCGGGTTGGTCCAGGAACCAAACCCAGACTCCCATGTGGCCACAGTCTTGCACAGAAGTGCCCAGCGACTTAGGCTACTGTAGTTGGGCCTGATGTAGTGTTTGGTAGGTAGCTAGGTTGTGCTCGTTTTTGATAAAGCTTCAGCCATAGACCTAGTTTTAGCTAGTCTCTGTAGGTTACAGCTATCAAAGATACCTAAGCAAGGTGGGACAGCTGGTCTTGGGTAGACCACATATGCCTGCAGTGGAATCTTTCTGCATTCTCATCTTCCTTTAATTTTATGCTGTTCTTCCTTGTGTAACCTTCCCTTTCTCTCAGTAGGTCACTGCTGTCTGTTCTGACTTATTGTTAATTCTTTGCTCTTCCTTTTCTGACCTCTCTAGAGCCTAGAAGAGGAGATAACATCAATTTTGTTTAGTGCAAAGGGCTTTTCTGATAGCATGAAAACCACCTTCGCTTCAGCCACCACTTGGACAGCAGAGGGCACTGTTGTGAACTCTGATGCACCTTCTGAAAAGCATTCTTCCTGGCCCTTCTCACACTTGCCTGAGGTGCATTTTACTTTGTTTCCCCTGTTACTAAAAGCCACATATAAGAGTGATTTTGATTTTTTAAATATTTAGGTATCTTCCCTCCAGCGCTTTTATGGGTGATATTAACTCTTCCTGGGAAAAGTATTCAAGAGACAATTGACCAAGTTTTGAAATTAGGAAAAGATACAGATTGGATGTTTCTCCTGCCTCTTTTGGTCAAACAAAACAAAACAAAACAAACCCTGCCTAAATTCAGAGAATCATTGAAACCATTAAGGTCCAGAATCCTAGTAGAGTCATTTAGCAAGGGGAAGCCCTAAACCCTAGAGAAGCTAAATATGCTTTGTAGAGTTAAAAGGTGTCGAAACCCACATTTCAAGCATTCTCTGGTGGCTCGTTGTTTTTTAAAATCCTGTTTATATGAAAAAACTTGAAATGCCTGTCAGACTCAATGAAATGATAATTATTACTACTAATAATTATTACTAATAATGATAAATAGTAATAATTATTATTAGGTTTTAACCATAGGGTATGTGTGCTCACCAGAGGGAGACATAGAAGGAAAGTGAGAAGTCACTCCCCAGGGGATGGTTATACCACAGTCCTTTGTCTTCCATTCTCTTGGGATTTTGGGCATATACACACACACACATGTGCATGGCATCATTTTCAAGCATCTGGGTCTGGTACCAGAACCCATAGTTGTCTGTGTGGGAGTCCAGCCCCTTAACCACCACTATGTGCTAATCCCTGAGATAATTATCAAAAATAATAATTTGAGTGATGCTAAGAGATTCCTTGAACTTTGGGTAGTCTATCTGGCCATTCAAAGTTAAGAAATAATAGTTAGACTAACTAATTGACCTGCAGTAATAATGAAATGTCTGCCTAGAAATATTCTGATTACTGGATATTTGTATTTATAAAGAAGTTCACAAGTAGTTATAGTTAAATGTTACCAGTTTATCAAAACAGACTGAGGCTTTTTCAGTCTACTATCTGAAACCTTTAGATTTTTAGTAAACTTTGAAGGATGCCTTTCTTGTTTCAGTAACTCGATTTAAATGGTATTGATTTTGAGCAATGAAAACATGCCCTTACTGCTCATTTAAGAATAGTAAGACAGAGCTGGCTTCGTAAGCTAGTGATTACATGCCCAGTGACACACTGCTGGCCATATTTTGAGTCCCAGGCCCAGCAGTTTGAAAAACATTGCTAGATGTGTGTACATGCATGCTTAAAATCCTAACAGAATGGAGAACTATATAGGGAAGGAATTACAGCGTGATTACACCCCACTGGAGAAGGGGGGAGTGCTTTCTTCCTCTCCCTTTCTAGGTCTCTGGCTGGTGTATATGCCCTCTGGCAATTAAACAAATGAACAGGACAGATCAAAAGAGGTTGTGAGTATATGTTGAGAGATGCTGCAGAGAAGTGTGCCATTTTAGGGCCTTTAGTTCATGATTTTTTGCCACTGGGACAGAAGAATGTGAAATCCTGTTCTCTGTCATAGGAACCTACTCCAATCCAGTTAGTGTCTTGGCCACGCCACACTAACTCCACAACTGTTAGTGTCCAGAGGGTTCAGAGGCTCAGTAAGTGCCCCTCTCCATTCAGTGTAGAGTTGTCTTCTTAAATCAATGGACTGCTGTCTGTGGCTGAATTATTTGATCCTAGAGCACAAGTAGCAGTGCCACTTGAATGTCAAAAAGTTGCTATGCTTTAGTTGTATCAATGTAGAGTAGTTTTTATTTTAAGTGTAAGATAATGAGAAGCTTTAAGCACTCCTCTGTAAGGAACTTTTCTGCCCTAGCTAATAATGGTGTAGTAATTCATATTACTACTGTATTCAGTCAACAGGTACTTATTGAACATTTAGGTACTGTATTATTCAAGCAGAATAAATTAATTTACTCCCAACAAGTAGATGTCTGCAGGGATAGGAGTGAGCATCTCAAATAATAAACGAGTCATTTCACATTTCAAAGGATGCTGGTAGAGGAGCTAAATTTTATGAGAAAACACTTGAAGCCATTGTAGACATTGACACTTCAATGTTATTATCGCCTTTGCTCATTCGTGCTAAAAATTGGCATGTTAATAACCATGCCCAAAACACTTTCATACTCATAGTATCTGAGGTAACTATAATTTTGCCGATTAATGCCTTTTTTTTTTTTTAAGTACCAGCAAAAACTGAAGGTGCCATCTCCTTAATGCCATATTCATTTAGGAATCAGGATTGTAGGCTAGACTTGATCATTCACTTAAAACCAGAATTGGTTGTCAAATAGATTTTAAAAGTTTAGAAACGTGTCCTTTAAAATAATCAGTAAGCTTCACTATAATTCCATTTTTAAAAACGTTTTCCATTACATAGAGTTTCTTGGCCGATTATTACTATAATACAAGCTTTTTTTTCTTTCTCTTTGGGAGGATGCTGGCTCTCCTATGTTTTTTTGTTTTGTTTTGTTTTTGTAAGTTTTTTGGCATTTGTCTTGATTGTCCTTTATGTGATCCTGAGCAAAGGCTTTTGTAGATGTTGATTCTTGCCGTTCTGTCTCTGTGGTGTCAGATGTGTGTATCAGTGGTTGTTGAGGTAAAACTTTATTGATTTTGTGTCCTTGGTTGCTTTTTGTTTCGCAGACACGTGCTCCTGAGTCAGAAGGGCCTTGCACTGGAGCCAGGGATGCTGTTAAGGTTCTTCCTTTTATCCATGTTAACACCATTGCCTGATGTTTTTCATCTGCCTCACGTTTTCCCCGCTTCCCTTTCAGTCAGCCATCATAATCATCTTTGTTTTCCTCCATGACATGAATCTGCCATCAGCTAATTTGTGTTCCCGTTGTTTTTATTTATTCATGTATTTTTGTTTTTCCTCATCCATTTTTTTTTGTGCAGAGTTCACATGAGACTCTGAATGTAGTGGAGGAGAAGAAGCGGGCAGAGGTTGGGAAAGACGAAAGAGTAATCGCGGAAGAAATGAATGGTAAAGAGCTATCACCTGGGAGTGGTCCTGGGGAGATGCGTAAGGTGGAGCCTGTGACACAAAAAGACTCCACCTCCCTGTCTTCTGAGAGCAGCAGCAGCAGCGAAAGTGAGGAGGAAGATGTGGGGGAGTACCGGCCCCACCACCGTGTGACCCCGGGCACCATAAGGGAAGAGCAGGAGGAGGATGGAGAAGAAATGGAGCAAGAGCTTGGCCGAGCCACCAAGGTAGTAGAGAGGGAGGCCGCAGAGCCAGAAGCCAGCCCAGGCAAACAAGCAGGTGCCAGTGTAATCCCAGTAGAAACACAGATCCAGGAACACATAGTTGTCCAAAAGATAACTGGAGAGAAGAGTGTAAACGAAGGCATTGTTAAGCAAGACATGGGAGAAGAAGCCGAGGAGGAGCAACATAAAGTTAACGGAGAGGTGTCTCATGTTGACATTGATGTTTTGCCACAAATTATTTGTTGTTCCGAGGTAAATGGAAGTCCCAAGTGGGAGCTAAACTGTTGAGCTTTTTCTCAGGTGCAGAGCACCTGCCTTTCTTCTCCTGTCCTCCCAATTCTCCTTCAGCTTTTGCAACAAGAACTTGATTTTTCTCTCTCATGGGACGAAGGGGAAAAGCACTGCTTTATAGATTTTCTGCCAGCTCAGATCTAGCTTCTTTACTGCAACTGGATCAGCTATAGGACAAATTTTCCTATGACCACATCATTTTTTTCCTTTCCATTCCACATTGAAATTTTTCTTTGCATGTTTGGGATGGTTTCCAACTATTTTGTCTTTAGTTGCACTGCTTTCTCATATTAAATGCCGTTTATTTTGTTGATTTAATTAGAAGAATGTATATGTGATGTTGAAAAAAAATGGTCCACGTGTGTGTGTGTGTGTGTTTCCGTTGTCATGACTGAGTTGGACTTCTTGGCTCATCCTCTGTCTCGTTAATGTATTTTTAGAAACAGCAGTAGGCCCTGATCACCACGGTGCTCTGAATGCAGCATCTTTGATCGCTACTGAAAGTTCTGTTTTTAGAGTCCAGCGATTGCATGGTTTCTTTCTTTCTTTTTTTTTTTTTTTAAATTATTTACACTCCTTCACTATACATCATTACAATATACAAAATGAGCTCTCCCATTCAGGATACACTGTATATTGGCTCAATCAAACACATCAACATACGTGTTATCGTCAACAAATAATTTTGCATTTCTTGTTTCCTGTGTATTTTGCTTTTTTTTTTTTCCATCCTTGATTCCGTATCTCTCACCCTCTGCTGTGTCCCATCCTCCTCCCACACTGTCTCTGATATCCATGGCTGCTTTCTATGCCTTTCCCCCCCATTTTATTGTTTGCTAATGAACTTAATTAATCTAAATATTTCCCAAAGCAAGCACAGCTGATATATATATATATATACATACATACATACACACACACATATATATATGTCTGTTGGCATAAACCTCAGTGCGTAGAATGAACACACTATAAAGAAGCACCTAGCTGGGCTTTCCCTCTAGGGAACCAGAGGCTAGACTGGCTAGGATCTCCTCATTCTGTCCTCACTTCAATTGTAGACCATAATTGCAAGTTGCTTATATATCTTGTGGATTATCTATGTTGGATACAAGGCTTCCTTTTTCTTTAAAAGAGGTTTTCTGACTTCTTTTAGGTTCAGTCTTGGTCATTAGGAGCAGAAACTCTGGCTTGCAAGTTAGGATGAGGGAGGATTTACTTCCATGGGAGTGCTTTTTCTGATTTTAAAATGAACTGCCCACAGTGTAGGGATTTATCCATATTTGCTCTTTTTAATGAGTTGGAAAACCTCGAAGTAACTTCGTCTTGAAATAATTAAGTGGATCTTTACTTTGTTAGTTTTAAACTTCCCGTTTGGCTTCAGAGAAGGTATTTCAAGAGTCTTTGAACGCTTTGAATTTTTTTTCCCTGCATTTAATATATGCTTGTTTCTTGTTAAGTAATTATGCCCATTGGGAATTTTCTCTTAAAGGAGGTACTGTAGTATTTTGGTACTAATTTAGTCTGGTGTCGTATTAAACATACGCTCTGAAGACTACAATGTTAACAAGCCGTCGAAACTCTCTTTTAATGTTTGAAATTGTTCAAAGCATTAATACAATATTGATGGAGTAATTTTGGCTATAACACTTTATCTTATGTTAATACAGAAAAACACTGAAAGTTTTAGACAAGTGTAATTGAAAATGATCATACTTGAAGTTCTTTCTGTAAATGGTATGCCCATTGTCAGTAAGGCAAAAAGGCACTTTTGGGAGAAGAATTGCCAGTTAAAGGCAGTGAGCCTTCATGCAAGCCATGTGGTTCTTTAAACTGCAATAAAAGCAGATATAGGCCATTTCACAGAGCTCATTCTGTTTTCTGTTTTATTATTACTTGCCCAAAGCTAAAGCATATATATATATGTATATATATGTGTGTGTGTGTGTACATATATACATATATATGTGTGTGTATATATATATATGATTGGACACTAGGCTTGACATTTAAGTAGATCAAGACTATCATAATTTGAAGAATGACATAATTTAGGGAGCCATTATTTTCACTTATTTTTCATAAATATATGCACATATATGCATACATGTAGACAAACATATGCATTTATATGTGTGTATGTGTATATGTATGTGTGTATCTAATGTATTTAAAGGACAGTTTTCTTTTATCTTTTGTTTTAAATTATTCGCTTTTACTGTTTTCTTTTGTGTATGAGTGTGTGATTGGACATGTTTAGTAAAATTATCCTTGAAGGTTCCACTTAACTCTTTTATTTGATTACCTCTAGAATTTATTTTTTCCCTTCCTTTTCCACCTCAGCCACCAGTTGTAAAAACAGAGATGGTAACAATTTCTGATGCCTCACAAAGGACAGAAATCTCCACCAAGGAAGTCCCCATTGTCCAAACTGAGACCAAAACCATCACATATGAGTCTCCACAGGTACAGAAGCTCTAGACTTGGACTGTTTGCATTCTCTCTTCGCTTAGTATGTTTTTGTGTCTATTCTGTCTTCTAGTTCATGTATTTAATTTCGAAATATCTTTTTATATCTCCATTTTTTAGCCTTATGGCAACACCATTAACTTGCTATTGCTCCCTTAGATGTAGACAGAAAGCTGTAATCAGATTAGTGACCTAGTCATTTCAGGCAGATTATACATATGATTATTTAGGGCGGAGAGTACCGATCTTGTTCACATTATGGTGAGCCATTCCTGGCTGGATGTATCCGAGGATGTTTATGCTTGGGAAACAGATTGCTTGCAGAATTTATGGAATCTGATGTAATTTGTGGATTAATAGGACTTAAGTTTCTTCCCCTTGCCCCAACTCCATGGAAACAGATGCAATCAACTTGTGATTGCATGGCAGGTAACACACAGTGCATACACATGTCTTATTTTTGAAAGTACATGTAGTCTTGTTATATAGACTGTAATACTGTGTATATAATGATCAGATTCTTGTGTTTGACTTTAGATCTTCAAATATTGGTTCTGTAAAGACCTGAAATAAACAGTAAGATGTCTAACTTTTTTAAAAAAAGGAGAAAAAGTACTTGTCATTTCAAAATGTAACTGTGCCAGCAGGTGTCATAGTGGTTAAGGCACTGGACTTCCACTTAACCAACTGTAGTTTGAATCCTGGACTTGGAAGCTTGAAACTCACACTGGGCATGTGTGTGTGCATGCCCAAAAGTCCCAGGAGGGGAATGGAGAGGGATTGTGGCATGACCATCTTCTCTGGGGGCGATTTCTCACTTTCCCTCTCACTGTCTCTCTCTGTCTCTTACCAGCAAGTGCACACACCCTGGGACAAAACTTGGAGAAAGGAAAAGAAAACTGTTTAAAATGTGTCACTGGGGGGGAACCAGCAGTTAGCGTAATGGCTATGTCGCTGGACTCCCACGTAGTCGACCGCGGTTCGCGTCTCGGACCCGGTGGCTTAAATCTCACGCTGGGTGCGTGTGCGTGCGTGCCCAAGATCCCGAGAGGAGAATGGAGGAGAAGGGATTGCGGCGTGACCATCCCCCCTGGGGGGTGATTTCTCGCTTTCTGTCTCTATGTCTCTGTCTGTCTGGCGAGCACACGCGCCCTATAGCAAAAACCTCTCCTCCCCCCCAAAAAAAAGTGTCACTGGGGCAGTGGCTCTCTATTTGGGAGGTAGACTGAGGGAAGATTGACTTCCGTAAATCCTTTTTCTGCATTAAGCCATTGAACCTTATATGGTACAATAGTGGCAGTATAAAGAATTTCCAATTATTGCCCTCTCAAAATATTTTTATAAGGTTTAATGTGTGCAGCATTTCTTGGATTACTTCAGATGTTATTCATATGTGTGCATAGATCCCACACAAGCACAAACAGGTCTCTTAGGAATGGGTGTGATGGGGTGTTTTGTTTTGTTTTTTTATATCTTCTAGTCAGAAGAAGGTAAAATAAACCTTTTCTTTTGTTAGTGTCAGAAAGCAGAAGGGATATATGTTTAGTGAGCTTAACAAACAGGCTGCTAACTTGCTTCATTCTTTCTGGCAAGTTCTAGAACCTTCCACATCTTTCTGTATCAAAGCAAAAACATTAAAACTTATTTTAATATACTCATGTGCAGGCAGGCCAGTAGGGCCAGTAGGTGGTTAAAGCTCTGATTTCCCACATGGCCAACTGAAATTCCTGTCCCGAACCTGACAGCTTGAAACTCATAATGATTGGGAAGAACATTGAAAAGATATTGAATGATGAAGTGGGGAGATTAATGTCTCTGTATTGACTGACATGCATGGCATTCCCTTTTGAAAAAGCAATGTAATACACTGTAAAGTTATATGCAATTCAATGTAATATAAACAAGATTATGATGATAATAAAAAAATAATTAAAAAAAAACAATAAAAACTCATGTTAGGTGCATGTATGTATATACCCAAAATCTCAGAAAGAGTATGCATTGTGGCATGGACATCCCCCCCCCTGGGGGGGGAGGTGATTTCTTACTTTCCCTCTGTCTATCTCTGTATCTCTCTTGAGCGATTATGTCCTATGGCAAAAAAACTAAAAACAAATACACACACTCATGTGCATGGGATTTATATATGACATATATAGGGAGAGCATATGCATGTATACAATACTGAAATGCATGTATCTACATATATGCTGACAACTGAACGATTATGGGAACGATGTACTTTTTAAAAATGTACTACAGATAATCGGATTATTCAGGCTCAGCCTATCCTAGTCAGGTTTCGTTGTTTAATAATCTGAGAAAATGAGTATTTTTACCCACCTGTGCTTAGAAAACAGCAACTAACTCTGTATTTCTGGTCACTATGCAGACTTTTCAGGTTGGCTCTCTAGTGCCTCTTTCTAGCTTCCGTAAATGTTGCTCTGACAAATTCTGTCATGGTCCCTTTGTAGCTTTCAGTCCATCGTCTTCCATTCTTCTTTCCTCTCTCCCCACAGGGTTTGCTTCTCTGTGTACGTTTAGCCTTTTGCTTCTACTCTGTTTTTAGTGCCGGTCACTCTCTTGGACAGTGGATTATCTCTACAGATAATGTGGAGGCAGACACATCTTCTGCCAACCGCATAGATTTTCAAAGATGGATATTCAGTGGGGCGGGGTCTTCTCTGACAACATAATGGAAGTTAAGCATTACTTTGTATTTTTCCCCCAACTGTCCAAAGATTGATGGCGGGGCTGGTGGTGATTCGGGCACGTTACTGACTGCACAAACCATCACATCCGAGTCCGTGTCAACAACGACAACCACACACATCACCAAGGTAAAGCAATCCAGGGGAATTCTAGAAAGCAGATGGTACATTGCAAACAGGATCTTTTCTGATTGTTTCTTTATTCCTATAAACACTTCCAAGTGATGTACAAACAGTGCCAGAGGGATAAAAATGTCTCGATTTAAAGTATCCAAGAAATTAGGCTCCATTGACAAATGTATTTAAGCCTAATTGCAATTTTGTAAAATACAAGGGAGTAAAAATATGCTATAAATAACTGAAGACAGATGCCAGAGCAAAGATAATTTTATAAAATTTTTACATGTGTAATTTATAAAAATAAAGTATATAAAAACAATAAAATTATTAAAACAAAACTGTGCTTCTACTTTTTTTAAACCAGCTATCCTGACTGAAGCAAGCGAGTGAAGACTACTCAAAATTTGAAGCAAATTGTTCAAATAATGTAAAATATTACTTAAGTTTATTTAAGATTCTATTATTTTGTTTTGGGACATTTTCCCAGGTCATTCTCTACCCGTTTAGCATCAGATACCCAAGGTGGCCCCTGGGTGGCAGCATCAGCCTCACCTGAGTACTTAGTGAAACTGTAAAGATCATGGCCCTACCCTAGACCTACTGGGAGGGTTATAAGAACGCTTGGTGACTGTGATGCATGCTAAACTCATCAGATTCTTAACTCCAGCCTTAGTTTACAGTGTTCTTTTTGCTTCTACTTTTCACATGTTCTTAAACGTCTCAAAGATATCCTATGAGCCCTTCCCACTCCATGTTTCAATAGCAAGGAAGGAAAATAAAAACAAAACTCTTTGCGAGTTAAAAAAGGCCACATACATGCAGGATGTTATTATTGGTGCTTGTTTTAAAACATGCAGTTATTAAAACTAATGATAAGCCTTGTTTCTTGCAAAATGCCATGACTTGTGATATAGTATGTAAATTTCCCAGAGTTGTGAAGGTTGGATATGTGCTTTCTCAGGACTGGCTGATATTTGCTCATTGTCTGTTTAGAAGGTCACAGCCTGATTTCCTCAGCCTTCTTCAGCGTGCCTTAGGTGCTTGGAGCTTTCACTGTGCCAGGAACTTGGTTAGGCTTTTCCCCAGGAACTCCTTCCCCCTGAGGCTCCATGTTCAGCCATGCTCCGTGTCCACGTGCACAACTACATTTGGAAGCTGTAATTAATTCAGATATTTAACAAAAATCTCATCCATCTTCTGTATCCTAAACCAAATTCAAATCCTTTTTTGTTATTGTAATAAACCAAATGAACAAGATCACCAAATGCATGCGTATGACCAGAATTGAGCAGTCTTGCTTATAACATCAATTTCTTAAACCTAATGCAAACTGAATTGTTAGAATTCCTTGTAATGCTACAGATACTGAGTGATTTCTTCTTTCTGCTCTTTTGAATACTTTAACGCTAGAATTCTCTGTTGAGCTTAAAAATGAGGCACAAAATGTTTCTAGAACATCTGTCTTCTGCCACGTGATATGCATGGCCTTATGATCAGAAGGTCCAGGTGGACTCCGTTCTCTTTTCTCTGACTGTAAGCTGCTCTAGTGATGCTGTTTTCTCTTCTCTCCTTTGACCTTTAGACTGTAAAAGGCGGAATCTCTGAAACAAGAATTGAGAAGCGCATTGTAATCACAGGAGATGCAGATATTGATCATGATCAGGTAAAGACCTAGTTCTGAAAGGGGCCATTTGTTTTCTGAGTTTTGCCATCTGTCATCATGTCACATCCTTATGTCAACCCCTTTTCCCGGGACCGCGTCATCGAAGCCTTACCTCCTAATCCTAGCATAAAGATACTCCATAACTGGGATACAGCTTGTCCTTTCAGCTTTTCCTAACTCTGAGTTAACATTAAAAAAAATAAATAAGTAGACTACTATTTATTTCCCACTGGCTTTGAATGCATTTTTGGGGGTCAGAATAATTTGGAGAATTTCTGGGAGCTCTTAGGTATTCACCTTTAAAAACCCAGTTTAAAGGCAAGTCATCAAATATTTTAAAATGAATGGCAGTTTAATGACACTGACTTTCAAAAGGTGAAAATAAAATATGATATAAGCTTGACTTATGCTTGCTTTTTGGAATTTTTTAAAGTATTTTTTATAGCATTAGGAGAGTTGGACTACTTACGACCAGGTACTTTTGTACTTTTCTCTAATTGTTATTACTATTTGTGTGTTTGTAGGGGGTATAATCTAAGATCTCTCACAAAGTGAAAATTTGCACTGATCCTTTAAAGAATCGTGCTTTCATGCTAATGTTAGGTTTGCTAAAAGTCATGGCATTAGCAGATGGTGAATGGAACTGCTGGCTACTTTGAGAGTGGCTGTCATTTTCTGCAGTCCCAAGTGATGTTGAGAATTTTTTCTTTCATTTATTTTCCTGAGTGATTTTTAACTCTGCTTTAAAAGTGATCAAGCTGTTTTCCTTTTACAGCAACTTGAAGAAGGGGAGAGAAATGTTCAGTTGGCCATCTCAGTTGGGGAGTTGGAGCGAATGATAGTTTTGGACATAATATGCAGCTCAGAGAAGAGAGTCTTAGAGAACACAATTTCTCATTCTAGAAAGGCTCCCTGTACGTGACCAGGGAGAAATGGATTTTCTTCCTGGCTAAAAATATTACTCCTTTTTTTATTAAAAAAAAACACCTTTTTAAGTCTGATGTTGCATACACTTTATTTCATTGTATGTATATTGCATACACATATGTAATTCCTTGAAAGCTATTAGAGGTTAAAAGGTGGCCCTGATTCCAGATTTTGACTTAGAAGTGAGAATTCTTAGTTGGTGACCGATACACTTGCCTGTTCACGACAGAAAATGAATTCATGAAACCTCTAGTTTCCCACAGAGAGGACTTACTCTGCCACTGTCCACTGGAATAGTCTTGACTTCTGCTGACCTGAAGTTGGAGTAAACCTGGTTCTAAATTCTTTTAGCTGTGCCTTATTTGCCCAAGAAGCATGGATTGAACTCCTACAGTGTGTGCTGGGCAGGAGCCCACAGTCTTTGGCATGGTGGAAAGGGCAATTTTGGGTCTTTTCCCTGCCACTGTTTTCCCTGCTTTCTCTCCTAACTAGATTGAGGCCCTTTCAAGATGCCACTTTTCCAGCACCATCACCCTCGGGGTTTTCTTTTGCCTTTAGGTCTGTTTTTTGCCAAATCTTAAATCCAGATAGTCTCTTTTCAGAATGGCACATATTAAAAACATATTCTGAAATGTAAGTATCAAAATAACACATGTCCCAAACTCTTTTTAAAAAATGAAAATGATGTGCTTTTTTAACTGTTGCTTAAAGGACACACATCTCTCTTGCATGTTGTCTAACATCAGCTGTTTTTAAACCCAATAAATATCCAAATCCTGTAAAGAGAGATTTAACCTTTTCATATTTAATTGTATGATTGCATACACTTTTATTTATTTTTTTATTTATTAAATAAGAGAGTACAGGATTAAGAGGAAGAGAGAAGACGTGGCTGTATTTTGCCCAGAATCTCTGTTGAGCCTGAAACCTAACCTGGGCTTCTTATGCAGCCTCAACCACTGCAGAGCTCCACCCTCCCATGACTGGGCTGCCATAAACTTTTTCACATAAATTTCACTGTAGCTCCCAGTATTCTTGTCACTAGAAGCTCTCGATGGATTCCCTTTCTTCATAAAGCCTGTAATGAGATGACAGCACTGTTTAAAGTTAAATGAGAAAGATCACTTCCCATCAAAAACTGATGTTGATCAAGTAGTGACCTTAATGTCATTGACATCGGTTTCTGTTCCTTGCCTACATAAAAAGGAATCTTAATAATGGAAGGAAACCTTCATCTGGGCAAGATGGAATAAAAGAAACGTCTTTTCTGTTGGCACATCAAAGAGGCATGCATCTATAAAACTTGGTTTGCAGATTGTCTGCCCTGTGCTTGGGCATGACACACTCAGCTCTGTCCTGGGGCACAGAAAAGGGCTGGGGGCAGGGGGTGAAGCCACACTGCAGCTGCTCCTCAGAGTGGATTTCTCTCTAGTAGAGTGATTTCTCAATTTGGCAGAATGATGTGGTAGTTTTCTCACAATCTTTATTGATGCCATAGTAAATGAACATTTTACAATACTTAATTTCATGTGATATTAAGCCATGCAAGGAATTAGGACAAACTGACCTAAAATGTGTTTGAAGATGATTATAGCAGTTTTCGTTTTTCTCTGCTTTTCTGCCAATTACAATGTGTTTTACGTGTGTTACCTTCCCGTGGGCGTCATGTATATTTCCTCTCTAACAATCGCCTGCGTTTACTGTAGGCAGATCTTGGTAATGAACATGAACTGTAGTATCTCATCATTTGTCTGTAGCTGCATTAGGCTCCTGTAGGAGCTTGTCTTTGACATTTACCAGTTTGAATTGCCCCCATCTCCTTCCTCTGAATGCATGGAAGAAGAAGAAAATGTGGAACTGCATTCCTTTGTTTCCTCTCCCTTTCCCATCCCCATCGGCACCCCCAGTGAATACACTGGAAAACTTTCCTGTCCTCTCTTATATTGGTTGCTGCTCAAATTTGGGCTGATTTCTCTCTTTTAGAAACACGGACAGCTCACCAGTATTGGTTATCTAGTAGAAATTTAAGCACCCCTAAGTGTCCTCCAAGCTTCAGCAAAAACTTTTGGTGTAAAAACAATGTCTTTTTTTGTATGAGGTTTTGGCTTAGTTAACCTTACAGCTGACAGAAACTATAATGCAAACAACAAATGCACTTGTCCCCTGGGGCAGATGACAGAGCAGAAAGATAAATAAATGTGCTGCCTTTTTTAAATGCATAGTTTACTTCCAAGACACAGTGTCGTGTGTCTTGGTACAATTTCTTTCTTAGTTTAGGATCTCTTTAGTCTTTGAAAGTGTTCTATGTTTTGTTTTACTTTCCCCCGAGGTTTCTTTATAACAAAATGAGCAACAGTGTAAAAAAGGCACCTTTACCCTCTGAAAAATTAGGGTCCTTCCCTTTGCCACAACACATTTACACAGTTGACTTTCTGATAAGACAGATAGAAACTTTTTTTCTCACTGTCTAGGCCAGGGAAGAGACCATGAACCACTAGAGTCAGCACCCGGGGTCCTGCCCTGTCTCTCAGAGGCTGGATGGCTTTGAGAAAGACCCATTAACCTTTGTGCCTTCCATTTTTTCAACTGTAAAATTGGGACCTCTGTACTTTAAAGATTAGTCTCTCTCTTTTCTTTAACTTCACTAATTATGTGTTGCTGTTACTGTTCTTTTAGTTCTGCACCTAGAGGTTTATATTTTTTTCAGAATCATCTTAGTTCAGCAAATGTTTAGATCAATTCTGATTGCCTAAGAGGGCAAAGATAAACAAGGCCTATTCCTATACCTTGGAGTTCCGGGTGGTTGGGTGAAGTGGGTATCAGTTGAGTGTATAGATCAGGTACTATGTTGGCTGCTTTATGCCATCACTTCAGCTCATACAGCAAACCTTAAAATAATCTTTACAGCCTAAGTCTTAGTTTTGGATTAGAGGTGAGAATACGAATGCTCAGGGGAAGAGCTGTTCTCTCCAGTTTCCACAGTGAAGGCAAGCCTGGGGTTCAACGCCAACATGTTTCTTCTGTATGTCTACGTTTGTCCTGATTTGAAGGTGGACTGGAGAAAGGGGAAGTTTGGGAAAATGAGAAGTACTGCCTAAACTGAAGATTGAGCCCGTTTCAGATATTTCCTGAAATAAACAAATCTGGCCGTTTTGGCTGGAGCCAAGTCCCAGCTGATCACCATGCGTGTGTTTTGCCATCCTGAGTGGAGCCTGTTCCTCAGCTCACAGCTGCTCTGTCTTGACCCTGGCAGGCACTGGCGCAGGCCATCAGGGAAGCCAGGGAGCAGCATCCTGACATGTCGGTCACAAGAGTGGTGGTGCACAAAGAGACAGACCTGACGGAGGAAGGCGAAGAGTAAGGACGGTAAGAGTTACAGCCTGTGTCATCACTGGCCTTTCTAACGACTGTTCTATGTCCCTAAAACTGTGGAGAGATGTGAAATGTGCTTTTTACACCAGTGTCTGTTATCTACAGTATGTCTGGTTTTTCAGATTGTTATCCCCAGCTCCATCTGCTCAGGTGTGTATAATTATAAACCCTGTGGATTGTTGGGCATGTGTCAATATTGAAGGTTTCAGTCGCTGATTTATTGATGGGCATGGGGGGGGCAATAACTGATTTGTTGATATTGATAGATTTCTTTTTTGCTATCAAGCACATTAGTATTAGTTATGTTAATTAATGCTCACAACCTTTTGAGGAAGGTGCTATTATCCTCATTTAGATAGATTTTTATCGTAGGAGGGATAAATGGAAGGTGAATTAAATTGTTTAAACCTATGTAGTAAGAATTGTGTATCAGGGAATGTATCATAAAGGAAAAGATTGCTTTGACTATGTGAAAATTGAGAACTTTAGTCAAACAAGCAGAAACAAAAGTAGAGGATAAATGATAAAATATAATATGCTGAGAAAAGATTAATACCCTAAATATAGTAAGAACTCTGATGTCCTTTTACTAAGAAAATTAAACAGCTTAGTAGAAAAATGGGCAGATGGTCTGGTCTCACGGTCTGGTGGTTAGTGGAACCAGATCCCACGTGGCTGACCAAGTGATTTGAGTTCTGGCCCCAAATCCTAATGAGATGGCTAAATGGAAAAAAGAGCATTGTTGTGTGGCCATGCCCATTGTGGGTGCTTACTCACTTTCCCTCTTTCTCAATCTCTCTCTGGTGAGTGCATGTGCCCTCTGGCAATTAAAAAAGCAAAAGAAAAATGGACAGAGATGAAGCAAGTGAACCACTGAATAAGAAACCAAAAATGCCCAACTTCACTGTTGCTTAAATCAGTATATGTTAAAAAATGCAGTAGTGAGGGGATAGGGGCACTAGATAAGAGTGGTGGTTAAAGTACTGGATTCCCATTTGGCTGACTGGGATTCAAGTTCCAGATCTGGCAACTTGAAAATCACGCTGGCCACATCTGCATGCATTCCTAAAATTCCATGGGGAATTGAGGAGAAGAAATTGTGTGTGGTCACCTCCCCTGGAGGTGGCTTCTCATTTTCCCCTCTCTGTCTCTCTCTGGTGAGTGCATGCACTCTATGGCAAAACCTAAAAACAAATAAACAAAACCAGGGACCAGCTGTTGGTGTAATGGCTATGTCTCTGGACTCTCACATAGTCGACCGTGATTCGAGTCCTGGACCTGGTGGCTTAATCTCACACTGGACATGTGTGCATACATGCCCAAAATACTGAGAGGAGAATGGAGAAGGGATTATGATGTGGCCATCCCCTCTTGGTGGTGATTTTTCACTTTCTCTCTCTCTCTCTCTCTCTCTCTCTCTCTGGCGAGTACACATGCCTTATAGCAAAAACCTCTCAAAAAAAAAAAAATCAGCGGGTAACTTTTCACCTATAAATTTGGCAAAATTTATGTTTTTAACCAGTGTCTGAAAGGTTGTAGAAGGAAAAATGCACTTATATACTGAACATTAAATTCGTAATATTTCCTAGAAGGACAGGTTGGCTAAACATCTTTCAAATAATCTACATTAAACAGGCCTACCTTTAAACTGTTTTTACAATTTCATCTTAAATATTCAGATGTATACAAAGATTTACCCATAAGGTTATCACATTTTTATACATACTAGCAAAAATTTTGAAACAATCTTAATAGCCAACAGTAGAATAGGTAATACATTATGCTACTTCTGTGATGACCGAATAAAAAATTCTTAATGAAATAAATCAGTGCTCATCATTATGTATAAGGTTTTTTGTTTTGTTTTGTTTTTATAAGAGAGGTTTTTCATATAGGACGTGTGCGCTTGCCAGAAAGACAGAGAGACAAAAGACAAGAAATCACCCCCCAGGGAGCATGGCCATGCTGCAATCCCTTCTCCTCCATTCTCCTCTCAGGATCTTGGGCACACACGCACACATGCCTGGCATGAGTTTAAGCCACAGGGTCCGGGACTCGAACCAAGGTCGACTATATGGGGTTACAGCGACATAGCCATTATACCAACTGCTGGTCCTGTATAAGGGTTTTAAGAAGCAGACCTTGGGTTGGCTCTGTAGTGCAGCAGTTAAGCATTGTACATGGGAAGCTAGATCCCATATTGCCACCTTGGTCTAAATCCTGGGCCCTGAGGCAGCATTCTGTGGTCATGTGCATGTGTGCTCAAAATCCCAACAGGATGGAGCAAAAAACCCCTTTGGAGATACTTTCTCTTTCTCTTGCTATCTTGCTCGCTCTTCTGTCTATGGTGAGCACACTGTCCTTTAGCAATCAAAAAAACAACAAAAAAACCCAAAAACACAGGTCTTATAACATAGCATATGTAGTAAGATTACTTTTTTAGTTTTTAAAATAGTCTATACTGGGTCTACCGGGTGGTGTGGTTAAGGCCCTAGACTCCCACATGACTGACTGTGATTTGAGTCCCCAACCTGGTACCTTGAAAATCATGCCAGGCATATGCAGATGAATGCCCAAAATTCCAGAAGGAGAAGGGATTGTCATGTGGTCATACTCCCTGGGGAATGATTTCTTTTTTTTTTTTGTGGAGATTTTCGCTATAGGGCACGTGCACTCGCCAGACAGTCAGAGAGAGACATAGAGACAGAAAGCAAGAAATCACCCCCCAGGGGGGATGGTCACACCACAATCCCTTCTCCTCCATTCTCCTCTCGGGATCTTGGGCACGCACGCACACGCGCCCGATAGGAGTTTTAAGCCACCGGGTCCAGAACACGAACTGCGGTCGACTACGTGGGAGTCCAGCGACATAGCCATTACGCTAACTGCTGGTTTCCCCCTGGGGAGTGATTTCTCACTTTTCCTCACATTGGTATATTCTCTGTCTCTCTGGCCAGTGCATGCACCCTATGGCAAAAACCAACAAACAAAACCTCTATATATTGATTAATCAGTAAGTCGATAAACCCACAAGAATGGCTGGGTCACAGCCACATCTTTCACCTTGCATGAAAAACCACACAGCCTTTCATCCACAGGAAGTGTGAGTTCCTGCCCTTTCATGGCATCCCCTCTGACTTCTTAATTTTTGTCAGTCTGGGTGGATATGAAATGATACATAACTGACTGTAATTTCAATATCACTCTTTAATATCTTTTCATATGGTAATTGGCCATTCACATTTTTCCCTCTATGAAAATACAAATAGCCAGAAAACTTGAAATATTTCTGTGAAATGCTTATTCGCCTCTCTCACTGCTTTTGTATTTGCTTTCCCTCGCTTTCACTGCTCTTAGTATTCTTGATAGATTCTGGGCACTATTTCTTGGTCAGTTTTGTGCATTGCAGATATCTTCAGTTTTGTGGTTAGCCTTTCACTGTTACAGTTGAGAATAGTTATTATAGTGAATTTATCAAGATTTTCTTTATGACTTATGCTCTTTCTGTACACTGAGGTATTAAAGGTATCAAGTTGTTGGAAAAGTCATGATACATTTTTGCATAGAAAAATACCATGATTTTCTGACAACCCAATAGTTCCTTCTAGAAATTTGAACACTGCTTTGTTTTCATATATTAATCTTTATAATCCACCTGAAATTGCTTTTTCTGTAAGATGAGAAATAGTAACCCGTTTGTTTCTGCTAGAAGCCAGCATTCTATCACTGTTTATTGAAGAGCCCACCCTTTCCCTTCCATCTGCAGCATCCCATATCACGTTTCTTACATGTGCAGGTGTGTTTCTGGTACTCTGATTTCCACTGGCCCATGTGTCTGTCCCTGCTCCAATGCCATACAGTCATAATCACCATGGCATTTAGACACCTTGACACAGCACTTGATATCTGGTAGAGTATGTTTCTACTATTTTTTTTTCTTTATTTTTGCTCTCAGCTCTTTCTGTTCCATATAAATTTGAAAATCAGAGTCAGGTTCTAAGATTAAACCCTGTGGTATTTTTTTTTTTTTTAAAGAAACTTTTTTTTTTAAAAGACAACTAGATATTTTTTCTTATTATTTTATTTAACTTTATTTATTATTATCATTATTACTTTCCAGTTTGATCAGAGAGAGAGAGAGGGGCAGTGAGAAAGCAAGCCACCAGTTTCGAGACTTGAACCATGGTCGGCCGTGTGGGAGTCCAGCGCCTTTAACCACCATGCCACTTGCCGGCCCCAAACCCTGTGGTATTTTAATTGGAATTGCATCCATTCTGTATGATATTAAGTCATCTTCTCTATTAACATAAAATGCCTCTCTCCATTTGTATATGTTTTCTTTAATGTCTTTCAACAAAATTATTTTTTTTAGCCAAATACAGCCTTATAAATTTTCTCTATCTTTTGTTAACATGGAAAGATATAAGTGGCTTTTTTCTATTGATCTTATTCCTAGCAGTCGTACTCTTTATATTTTGGGTACTGTTTTCAACATTGGGTATATAATGGACTAGGAAGCAGAAATCACTTAAAGTTTTAGCAAAATATTCAGTTGCCTGAGTAAATGCGCTTGTTACATGTGAATGTTGATCTTTTTATTCTACTGGATTTTATAGGGGTGGTTGAGATCATTCACACCAACTCCGAGGACTAGGTGCCATGTTTCGTCTTACCAGAGGTCAAACTATGTGACTGGGCAAGTTGCTGGGATGGTGCCATCTACCTTCTCTAACTCATAGGACTTACTGTAAGGATATGCCATTTCCCCTCTTCTATCTTACTCAGGAATACAAGACAAAAATGAGTGACTACTGTAAGCATTACCAGTACTCCCACCTTTACTTTTGAAATGAACTAGCTATGTCTGTTGTTTCCAGCACCTTATATTCATTTTTGCAGTGGAGGCACTTGTGTACCTGTGCACACACACAAAGCTTTTGAAGTTGGCCTTTCTCACAGGCCAGCATTTTATGAGCAGCCTTGCTAGACAGATG